ACGTGTGCCTGCGCATTCAGCTGGGGAAAGAGCCTGGAAAACTCCGGGTATACGGTGCGCCTCTATGAGCCGGGAGACCTTCGAATTCCGAGGGCGGATGTCCACGCGCCACCGAACTCGCAGGGCTGTCACATCGCCCGCTACTTGGACTATTTTCTGGAGGGCGATGTCCCCGCCGAGGTATTGCAGCGCCTTGCGGCCGAGCGCCCTAGTGCACGCGGCGTTCTGATGGAGAGCCATGCCACGCAGGTTACCGCTGGCACCGATGCGCACGAGATTTACTTGGTGGATGCAGGCGGCGCTCCTCGTCGTTGGTTCACGTGGATGCACCGTCGTGTCGAAGACAAGGTTTCAATCTAAGGAGACGACCATGGGCGCGGGACATGATCACGGGAAGGGCGCAAACGAGCGCTCGATGTGGATCGCACTGAGCTTGACCGGCTCTTTCATGATCGCGGAAGCGGTCGGAGGTTGGCTGACCGGCAGCCTGGCGCTGATCTCCGATGCGGCGCACATGCTGACCGATACCGTGGCACTGGCGATTGCCTTGCTCGCGATTCGCATCGGCAAGCGAGCGGCTGATCGACGGCGCACCTTCGGCTATGGACGATTCGAGATCATCGCAGCGGCGTTCAATGCCGGCATGCTGTTCGCTGTCGCGATCTACATCTTCTACGAAGCCTGGCAGCGATTCCGGATGCCACCGGAGGTGCAATCAATCCCAATGCTCGTGATCGCCTCGCTGGGCCTGATCGTCAATCTCATATCGATGCGACTGTTGAGCGCAGGCCAGTCTGAAAGCCTCAACGTCAAAGGGGCTTATCTCGAAGTCTGGAGCGACATGCTCGGCTCACTCGGCGTCATCATCGGCGCCGGAGTGATCTACCTCACGGGATGGACTTGGTTCGATCCGCTGATCGCGGTGCTCATTGCCGTGTGGGTGTTGCCGCGCACCTACATCTTGCTCAAGGCAAGCGCAAACGTGTTGCTCGAAGGCGTTCCCGAAGGCGTCGAGATCGACAAGATCGAGTCGTCTATTCGATCGGATGCGGATGTTCGCGGCGTGCATGACTTGCATATCTGGGGACTTGGCAGTGGGCAAATCAGCTTGGCCGCGCACGTGTTGTTGGCGCCCGGAGTCCAGGTGGACAGCTTCCTGCGGCGCACGGAAATGAAGCTGAAATCCGAATACAAGGTGACGCACACCACCTTGCAGTGCGAGTTCGAGCCCTGCGCAGATGAGGACATTTGTTCGCTCTCTACAAATGTCCATGACCGCGATGATGAGCACGATCATCACAGCCATGCTTAGTGCTCGATGGCGGTTATCAGATGGTTATTGACAGCAAGTGAGGCTCAGCTGCTGCGCTTCCTGGTGCTGGGGCTGCTGATTCTCATCCTGGGGGCGATTCTGCCGATCTCGGCCGTGAATGTTTTTCGCCACCGATAAGCTCGAGTGCAGTTATGAGCTTCATGTATCGCCGGATCGATAGCACCACGAGGATCGGGGCTCCCCGTTTGTGGACGATCACGTCGGCTCTTCTGGCTTTGCTCACAACCCACTGATAACGGCGCCGGACGTCGGTCAGCGTGACGTTCACGATGGGGCGGCGTGTGACTTCGCCGTCCGACTTAGTGGGCATGACGAATCTGCAGCGCAGCGGCGATTAACTGCTCGGAGTGTGAGG